ACGCGCGCGCACGCACGCACACAGACACAGACACAGACACAGACACGGACACGGACACAGACACAGACACAGACACAGACACAGACACAGACACACACACACACACACGCGCGCGCGCGCGCACGAAACTACAATCCTGGTCCGATAACATCCCGACAGAATCACCAGTCGCAGCGAAGCAGGCCTCAATAGCTCAAGGGCCGGCAGCCACCGCGCACCCTCCTGACATTTACTGGTCAATTGGTTGAGATCCGACTGCAGCTTTCAACGGTCCTATGACAAGCTGAGTTAGCTTTTTGGTCGACCTGAGTCTGATTGCTATCATTTGTCTCAATGAGGATGCAGGCTGATGGGGAAATTCGGGTGACATTAAACCAAACGCAAAAGGTAGCTTCCCCCCCTCGCGTGGCTTTCAATCTACAGCTGAACCCTCAACTTGCCAAAACTGCATAGCATGCGACCTGCCACGCCCGGTCCTGGAAAGCGAAGGCAGCAGCACCGACGCTCCGCTCGTTCTGCAGCAGGCTTTACCCGACTAGATTGTCTAGCCTAATAAGCAAATCGCAGGATACTCTGTCGGGCAGCCCGCGAGGCAACAGCACGCAAAACGAGAGCAACACCATGATTCTACGCACATCCGTGTCCCAACTGCGGCTCTGCTGCGACTAAACACTCCGGGACCAATCACGACAAGCCGCGGGATGCATCGATTGAACGACTAAAATAGCCCTCGCTGATTCATTGCTGTATTACATTCTGGCTCGCGGAGGTACCGATGACGCTCAACTGTGCAATCTTGAAGGCTAGACCTCCCTGGTCTAGAGTAGAAATCTGCACAAACAGCCGACTCGAGGTTGGGCACATGTTAGGTTCGCTGGTTTCTTCAGAACCTTGAAACCTGGGGCCCCACACCACGAAGCCCCTGCGGGTAACATCTGAACTCGCAATAGCTGCAATAGCTAGTGATTCCTGAAATCATCCTTTCGGCAAGGCTTCTGTGTGAAGTAGCAGTGCCTCCCTTGCCAGCGAAGAGCTAGACCTTATTGGACTTATCGCAGAATGCTGAGATAATAAGAATATAGATATTTCAGACACTCTTCGTCTTCCACACAGCTTCCAGCTGCAAGTCAAGAACTCACGCAGGCATAATAGCCATGCCAGTCTTTGTGCTACGGGCAAAACGACAGCATCGATCGATGTTCACACAAACGTAACAAAGAGTACCAGCTCGTGAGCCAACAGTGCGCATAACATCTCGCAAAATCTAATGCGTAAGACATGCTGGATTCAGTCCTCTACCAGGACCGTGACAAGGAATTGCAGGTAAAGTGCATTGGCAAAACTCGTTTAGGAGCGTCGTGTGCTCGAACCCGTACCACCCAGTATCGTCGGACCAAGGAGCCAAACACGCATGGCAGTACGCCATTCGCTCGCGTCTGCTGCTGCACTGACTGCCTCACAAGATGGGTTCTAGCAAGGACTCAGCCTCGCCCTTGAAGGCAGAGTCTTCAATCGTACGGACCTATATAGGACCATCCCGTCCAAGCGGCCGCCGTGTGAAGCTGCGCGTTCAGCGGTGTGGCGGCAGCTCTGCATCCTGACGGCTAAGCTACCAGCTCGGACTCGAACCAGAGAACCGACAGCCTCGAGAGCAAAAAATTCTAAGCTGCAGGACTACCGCAGATCGCGGAAGGAATCAGTAGTTCGGATGTGAAGCCTTCTGTCATGTTCGGGGCTTCAACTTGTGGAACACTTACATGCTCGGGCTCTGGGGTACATACTCTGTGGTGTCGTCGCTTGCCATGAACACATGTTGGGCTGAAGGGCCTTCTTCTGTTCCTGCAGCGATGCGAAATTCTGGAGCAGTGCGGTCAACATCGAAAAACAACGCGTCTGCACGTACTGCAAAGATCGCAGGAAAAACTTGATGCGGTAGCCTGAAAGAGCACCCAAGGCCACTCTCCACTGGGATGATTCCTGCGGACATGGTTTCGTTGCATTTTCCAGAGATGCAAGGGCAGGTCGAGCAGCACAGAGGACACTACTTCCTTCCACAGGTGTGCTGCTCCTCCCGGATTTAGTTGCTTGAGCTTGTTCTCCTACTCAACGATGCCAGCCAACAGATCTTGCCTTGCCCACGTCTGCGACTGTTGCCCAAGACGTTTCATCAGGCTCCTTGGATACTTGCATCGTCTTTGCACGAATACGAGATGCTTCACGGCAAGTAACTGCCTGCGAAATTTGTGGATGGCGGCTACAAAACTTTGAGCCTGCAACTCATTTGTTGAAGCCGAACTTGTTGCCGTAACAGTGCATTAGCAAACTGACTCGCGCAGTGATCGGAGCAGAGTTGGCATGCACTTGTCAAAGAGGTACCCTTCTGCGGATGGGGCCTCATGCGCGATACGACGCCTGCACCTCCAGGAACAGCATGCATACACACACCCACACACACACACATCCACATCATCGTCATCACACACATCATCACAGCCCGAAGCCCCTTCAAGTGCTTAAACTTGTATAATTATGAACCTAAAACCGCCCCGAGCCTTCAGAAGCACTAACCCTACACCCCAAAACCCTTAGACCCCTGGACTCTATACACACACGGCATGCTTCATCGGCATGAGAATTAACATCATTCAATGGCTGCGACCCGCACACCTACACCTACACCCAGTTCTGGGGAGGGCTCCTCTCAACTACCTTGCTTTGTGTTCAGCCTGCAGTCGCTACCAAAAGTGCGTGTGGCCCGTGCATGCCCCATCCCCCCAACTTTCGTCTACCCAGCCCTTGCAAACTCTCGCATCCGGGTGGCCATCTGATTCCAAGCCATCGTAGCCTCAAGTGGCTTTCGATTGCATGGCAGACTTGAGCTTCAGGGCCAGTGGTTTGTGATCTCATAGCAGCCCGGGCCTACCTGCATCAATAGATGTTGCAAGGCCAACAGAGGCCAGTGCCTGCAATAAAAGTGTTAGACACCAAGAGTCAAGAGTAGCAGCAGGTATCACGTGACAGCAGCTCGGAAGCCGAGCACAAATCAAGTAGCTCATGCTCCAAACCACATGCACCTCAAAAATAATGCCTGCATTTCCGCCTTTGCAATGTGATCCATTCCGATGCCGGAGCAAAGTCTAGACTTTCGGCTGTCGCAGCCCGGACGCCAGAAATTCGCAAGCCAAGCGCCATTGCTCCGCCTTGGCCAAGAGGCTCAGAAGCATGTTGCCTTGGCAGTGCATCTACCCTTGGGGGCTCTCTCTCAGAGTTGGATGCCTCATACTAGGGCCGTACGATCAAGATCCTGCTAGTTCGGGCGGAAATCAGAGCGACAGTACGCCTGAGAAGTTCCTGAAATGTGCACTAAGAGCGACAGTACAACTGAGGTCCTGCGAAGCCTGAGAAGCCACTCAGAGTCTTAGCACCGAATGCCTTAACAAACGACGCCCTACAAGCCGCAACGTACTTTTCTCCGAGGTATTGCGGCCATGCAGCAGAACAATATATCTGCCTGGATTGTCTGAGCGGCCATCCTGCATTTCTCAGACGACTGGAAAGAAGCATACTACCCAGTCCGAACCTAGGAAACATATCCAGATAACCATGGGAGTTTGTGGGAGTTTTAGTGGGTATCGGAAAGACAAGGTTGAACTTGTCCCTGTTCAGAAACACAAGTTCTTCAACTTTATAAATAAATATATGTAGATAGATATCAATTATTTTACAGTATGTATATACAGATGAACATGTAGGTATGCATTCAACTATGTGTTCGATCATTTTTGCCTACTCCTGTATTCAGTTGGTCATGTGTTTTATCCATGGTTATCATGATTATCTAGAGCTTAATGTATTATCTAGTTGTTTTTTATGCTTGTTTTTGTCTGCATATACATATGGATTTAGACATGTATGTATATACGTACGTATAGCATGGCCTCAACCAGCAAAGCCGGACCACATCTTCCGAATACTTCAACCCAGTGTCTGCAACAACCCCGACGACATGAACCCACTCCTCGTGATAGCACCACTAAATGCCGGCAAGCTTCAGTCCGTGAAGCCGAAGCAGCAACAGCACCAACGCCCCTTTGAAAGCCCGGGAAATTACAATCCCTTTGAGAGTAGGACCATATATGGTGACAAGACCTTGAGACCTCGAGGACAGCTCACTCCTGATATGCACTTCTGGAGACGTGAAACTTGGAACATGCAAGCTTCAAAGCATACTCAAGACCTGGATGGACCAGAAGACTGGAAGCATCAGCATGAAGAACACCGATCAGCCCAGCCCCCTGACCTCTCCATGAGCGCGAGAGCACAGGACCAAGCGTCACTCCAGCGACCTCAGCAAAAGCGTGCGATTTGGCCCTCTACCCGTTCGAAATCCCCTTGAGGTTCATTGGAGTTTGAGGTTTATGTTTAAGGGTCTTCCGGGTGCATGATGCGTTTCGCGATCACTCTGAGTCACAGGCAGGCTCGAACGACAGAGGCGTAGCTGACAATGTTCGGCATAATGTTCCTGAGGAGCTCGGGGCTTAGGGTACAAGATTCCTGCCGAAATTCGACGGTTTAAATGTTGAAAGAGTTCAGATCCATCTCATACCGCGGCGCGCCGAGCTCATGTTCGACTGGAGCATGGATGATGAATCAGATTGACTTGCCATATCAGCAAGATGCTTCCCTTGTTCCAGATCAGCCACCCGCGTCACGAACACTGGTTTTGGATTGCGTTCCATGAAAATCCATTTGTCTGCGTAGACAGCCAGGTCTCCACGGGATAAATACTTGAATTGAAGCGTTGATTGCTGTTCGAGAGGATCCCAGTTACAGCCAATAACTGAACTCTGATATGGTCCAGGACGGCTACATGAGCGAATCATTCCTCTTCACTGAGCCTCGCAACATCGACTCGCTACTGCTACTTGCACAAACTCCAAGATCGTTGCCACAATGTGTTCTGACTTCACCTGAGGTTGAGGCTCTAAAACCCTAAACCCTAAACCCAAAACCCATAGAAGGTTTCAAGGGGAAAGCATGGGTCGCTTGCCTAATTCTGCTCCGGGACCGCTTGCCTAATGCTGCTCCGGGACTGCCGATCCTCACAGCCGAGGGGCTGAACTAACTTTACGGCTGTGTGACTTTGTGTGCACAGTGTATGTATGTGTGTACAGTACTTGTATGTATGTTTGTGTGTAGGTAGGTAGGTAGGTAGGTAGGTAGGTAGGTAGGTAGGTAGGTAGGTAGGTAGGTAGGTAGGTACACATGTATTTATGGATTTATGTGTGGAGGCGGGAAGGCAAGTAGTTGTACTGCGTCTTTCTTTGCCTGACGGTTGCTCGGCAATTCCATTGTGCGAAGTTTTCTCACCACGAACAGAACTCGTTAGAAATCCGAAACTCAAAATCACATATGCCGTCCGGGCATTTGGTCCCGAAGCCTAGCAATTCTTCAGGCGACAAGCCCGAACCCCACGAACGATGAAGCCGTTCCACCAAGCGTCCACGCAGACATGCCGTCCAACAGTGCAATAGACCATTGCCACTCGCTGCAGCTTTCGCCTGAGTCTGGAATCCCAATCTGTTAGCAGCCTTAAGCTTGGTATTCGTCATCGCTATCTTTAGCTACGACAGGGCCTGCATCAGCGTGAGTATGCTGCTGCGCGATGCTTTGAAGACGGGTCTTAGGGGAGCAGGTGTTTAGAGCTGGAAGCGTTCTGCAATCTGGTGGAGTCGGTTGAGGGGCCTTGGGTTGAAGTATGTGTTTGCAGCGTTGCAGCTTGAGGTTTGGGCTGTAGGATTGCGACGAATCGACAGTACACCAGTCTCGTACAGTCTGAAGTATGTATGCACATATATATATATATATACACACACACCTACATACATACATACATACATACATACATACATACATACATACATACATACATACATACATCATGCATGCATGCCTGCATACGTACATACACAGACATTACAGATATGCATATAGACAAGGATACAGAGATAGATATAGTATGGATATAGATATCGGTACAGTCTTGGGTATGATTTGTAAGGGAATAGCGCTAGATGTAGACGAAGATAACGATATGTACATAAACATAGGGGCTAGTAGACACCATGCATTTCAATATATGCCATTCTGTCGAGCCTGATGTTTGTGTGCATGCATCCTGCGGCAGAAGGCAATGCCTGGCAACCTTGAATGAGACAGAGTTGCAACTGAACATGACACAGGCATGATGGCAGTAAGGAAACTGCACCAGGCAACGATGTGATGTTGGGAGTGGCATTTAACGAAGCCCGTCAAGCCAACAATACAGATGGTTGTATTCTCCACTTTGCTCCATCGCACGGCGGGTATAAAGCGGCATGGACCCGTACTTCAACATCGGACGAGCCGCATGCTCGGATTGCCGAGGTCCAGGTGATCTCATCTGACTGGACCTGCCCAAGGTAGTGCCCAGCCCACACGGTATGGTATTACTGAATGTACGCTCCACAAATTGCGACTTGATCTAGGGTTTGCCCAAAAACCATTCCACGTCGAGTTGGCAACAAGTGCTGTGCAGGATCATCTGTCAGAGCGATGTTTCAAGCTATTTGTAGCAACATCGGCAACAAGTGCAAAACATGGAAATGACTCCCTGCTGCCTCTCGGGAAGGGCACTTGCACAGAACTGCCCAAGAGATAGGCAAGTCGCCTCCGGACCCATCTTGACTTGCCATCATTGACCCTCTTCTCGCCAGTGCCTTTGAGCCCTGCTTCCCGGAAGCCTCGAGCTGCGCCAGCCCGGAGAGAAAGCTGAGAGCTCGCTGCCACTGGCCAGACGAACTGCAGGCGGGCTGGCTTGGACACCTAAACCAGCCTGCTCGGGGTTGGCATTTTGAGGTCTATCTACGAGCCTATGTCAAGGGTACTTGTCAGAGGAAGTCAAGTTTAGGCAGTTTAGGTGCTGACACATCGCAGTCGCAAGATGGATGCGTCGTGTTCCTTTCGGTTGCTGTGTCCGATGACAAGGGCATCAGTGAAATCCTTTCAATGGCCGACTTTTCCAGGTTTGGCTCAGATCTGTCTGCAGTCATCCTCTCATCCCCACAAGGGTAAGAGAGTTGCGCAATCATTTTGCAAGTCCCGGTCCTGGCCATGGCATCCACCAAGGAATTACATGTGACCTCAGCTTCTTCAGGAGGAAAGGAGAGAAACAAAGAGAGAGACAGATCGAGAGAGAGAGAAAGAGAGAGAGAGAGAGAAAGAGCGCGAGCGCCAGAGCAGCAAAGACAGGGACACCGATGGAACAAGGGAAAGATGCACAACAACATGCCAGAAGCGAACGTAGCGCAGGCACAAACCTGCACATCGTCAAACACATTGCTCGCACAGCCCAGCAACACCTTGAACATCCAAAGAATTGGTAGAGAGTCCTTCGGAGCAGGGTTTCAGATTTACGGCTTTCGAACAGTTGCCAGGCCATAGCTCGCTTAATTAGGTGGCACAGTGGCACAGAAGCGGAACCAAAGAAGTCCAAGCGCAGATCTTCACTTCGCAGGATCACGGGGTATGTAGGGCTAGGAGCAGCTGCGTCGGGACGTGACGGCAGGTCTGCGAAGCTCAGCTGGAGAAGTTGGAATCCCCAAAAAATGTCATGAGACTCCCATCCAATCATGGATCCAAAAACCTCAGAGTGAGCCATACTCCCGCAAATACCCAGCCCAAAGCCTAAGCCAATCGAAAGTCCTGAAGCTAAGCACTTATAAGAGCGTGTCTCAGGCGAGCACGGTGTTCGGCCGCACCGCAGCTGCCACCATGGCTTGAAGTGTTGCCAACGCTGCCTGGAGGGTCCCGAGCTTTCACAGCCGCGGCCTGTGGCCGTCGGCAACCGTAGCACTGGCAGCCGCACTATTATAGCCAAGTAGCAGTAGCAGAAGAAAAACTAGAAGTAGCGGCAGCAGCAGCAGCACGATCAGCAGCAGCAGCAGTCGTCGACGCGGTGCTAGTGTTAACAAGAACTGCTCGACCTCGTGAGCCTGATTTTCGCAGACTCCACAAAGCAAGTTGGCTTCTGAGGTTAGGCACTGCAAATCAGAAACCTAGCGAATCTAGGCGCGGCTCCAGCCGCCCCTCTGCCTCCCATGCTTCTTTGCACAAGACAAACCCTAAACCCTAAACCCTAAACCCTAATCTGACCGGCCTGCCAGTGCGCAGCTTTCGCACAGGCTCCAATAACGGAAGTGTAGGCAAACCTTCGTTGGATCGGAAAGTCAGGGATCCCGACTTCGGGCTTGAACTCAAACGAACATGACATCAATCTGACTCTGGCCTGAGGGCAGGTTCGAAACCTGAACTGCCGAAAAGTCCCGCCGGAGGGATTTTTGGGTTTGCTTCTGTTACTGAGGCCTTGGCTGCCTCGTGCTACGCCATCGTGCATGTAAGTGATAGCTACTTGCGTGCGACCGGCAACTGCAGCGACTCCTCGAGTTGCCACAAACTCTGAGCCATCCTCGTAAATCCTCTTAACACTCAGCAGCTAATGGCAACCCAAGGCAAAAGTTCATAGTGACAGCCGGAAGACACAACGGCGATCAATGTGGGTCTGTACTACACATATGTATATGTGCATACATGCGTACATACATACATACATACATACATACATACATACATACATACATACATACTTCCATACCCGTACATACAACTACATTGTACATACCACTGCATACCTTTACATGCCTTTACAATCCTTTACATACCTTTTGTATATCTCCGCATGCTGGGACATACCGTTACCTACCATCATTTCATACCATCACATACCATTGCGTTACATTACATCACATGTAATGTACTGCATATAGAACCTACAGCTACGTTACATCTTCCTGGTGCTTCACGTTACTTCGCATTGCATATATGGCTGTGTGCTGTGCGTTCCTCCCCCCTCCCCCTGCCGCGAATGACAATCGGGGAGCGTGGGGAGGCGGGGACCGCCGCGGTGCAACTAAATAAGCAAATAACAAAACAAACAACAAAAACACTGATATAGGTATGTATGTATTTATGTATGTATGTATGTGTATATATATATATATATACGGATAGTGCACACTCATGCATACATGGTCCCAACCAGACAAGTCCAAAAACATGAAGCAGTCTATATCTGCTAAGCAGAGATGCACATCAGCGGCGCTCGCATCCGAAAGGATCGTCAGTGCCAGTTGCCAGCAGCTGCCTTCCTGCAGACTTTTTTCTGCCATGGCCTATAGACACTCGAAGCTGCAGAAGCACGACTTAATGTGTTGGTTTCTGTTCCAGGGGGACCTCAATCATTCCCCTGCTGGCCTATTTTCTTTGTTCCCTTAGAACGAATCAAGAGGGTAGCTATTTCGAGTCTCAACTCACAAATTAGCGGCATTGTTGCCAGCACGAGGTGCAAACGTGGGAACCAACATGCGATCGGCACTGTGGCAGGAGAGCGATTTCCTCGAAGGAGAAAGGTCGTGGGTTTACGGTCAGACAATGAACACCGCAAAACGTGAACGTTACTGTGACGAGAGCACCACGCACCATTTCGGAAGATAGAAATAACATTTAACTAACTCCAAGACCCCATGACGGCGAGGCGTGAGAGACCAGGCAGAATAGCAGGGTGGTGGCCGAGACTTTAGAGCCTACCGGCGAGTTGAAATGCAAGATGCGAGCGGCACTTTGGCGAAATGAGCAGGGTTTGCACACACACACACACACACAGTGACACACACGCGCGCGCGCGGTACTGTTTTGAGAGTGCGATCTGGAGCGCGAGAGCGCCCAGGTGCTGAAATCTCCACCCACTTCAACAACACATCAGCAGAAGCTGAGACCAGACTTTCTAGAGTGCTTCGCCCGAAGCATGAAACTTTCCAGCCACAGACTGCTAGCAGCTGATCTCATGCCTCAAGCCAGCGACTTCGAAAGCCTCAAGCGGCGCTCAATCCCAGGAATCCTCGCAAGCCGCCAGGCCGAGGTTCCGCGTCTTTTCCCGGGACTCTGGGGACCTGAGAACTGGCAGAGGTTCAGGGAGTCTGGCTTTGCCACTGGCGGGGGTCCATGAGCTTTTGAGGGTGTCTTTCCGGAGTTGCACTTGTAGCGTTTGAGCGGTTTCTACGACAAACGGCTTCAACTCCGACGACAAAGACTATAACACTGATAACACCACTGCCACGACTGCGACCTCAAACTTTTCCTGCCACTACTACTCGCACCACTACTTCACCGTCAGTCGGTACCTCTCATCCTCCTACTCCTCCTCCACCTACTCCTGTATACGGCTTCCTACTGCTACTGCGACTCCTACTGCTAATCCTGCTATTCATGCTTTTCCTTCCTCCTCCTCCTCTGCCTGCACTTACCACCACGCATCACCCGCCACCCACCGCCACGCCACCACCCCCCACAGCACGCAGCACGAATTGGGCCAGCCTTGCGACCAAGACACCCCAGTTCAAAAGTCTGCAGCACGCAGTGCCACTCGCCTCAGGCAAGCCGCGGGCAATTCGAAGCTGCAAAAAGGAAGATATATGTGGGTTGTCACTAATGTGGACGCTTTAGAAGTTCAGCAAGTCAGTCCTGCTGCAGAACAGAACGTTCGCAGTGCGCAATATGAAAGTCCAGGTGGTTTTCGCACAGTTGCGGTTGTACAGCTACACCAGCACGCGTGCATAGGGACGGTTATAGACACGCAAACAATATCCATGAGTGCCTTGATGGGTGTGTGTGTGAAAGTGACGTCCGTACAGTCTTCTCAGTCGTTTCTTTCACGTAAATTCGTCGAAAGATTGCACACATCTAACTGCGGCCACGAAAGGAGTGGACATCTATTCGTGTGAGCCTCCAGGCGACCCCATAAGCTGCTGACCTTCAACCCGTTTCTGGTTAGCACGACAAAGCTGCAGAACTTCAACCTCAAAATAGTCAACCATGACTGCGTTGCAGAAGAAAGATCAAGATCAATAACCAGATCAATAGCAAAATCAATAGCTTAATCAAAAACCAGCTTGCAACACATCAATGAAGCACCATCAATATAATTGTGGCTTTAATCAATGAAAGCGCTTCAAATCAATATCGATAGACTTCTTGTGTCTTCACGGGTCAGGATTGAAAATAGGATTCTCAGGGGTTGCAAGTACATGCATGCGCCCGCAGTCGCCTCCGTAAGCATGGTACAGAGTCACGTCTGGTTTTTGGTGTAACACCTCTATCTCTCTATATACATATATATATATATGTATATATATATATATATACATATGTACATACATAAACAGGTGCATTGTACCTTGTACTTACACAACTCTATTCAAATGTACGCTCTGCAACCGAGTACAACAACGATTGGTTAGGCAATCCAAGTGAGCCAAGTAACAGAAGAAGCGTTAGACAAAGGTGCCCAAGATGTTCACGTCATTTCTTGTTTTTGGCTGCGTGGTTCCAAGCCTCTGAAGTACCCATACTCTACTACCTGTCTTACTTCCTTCGGGAGTTGCAAGGTCTGCAACAGTCTGCAAGAAATCCAAACGTGAGTTCCGTAGGGGCTACGTTTGTTATGTTCTCTTCTTTGCAAATTTCCAGGCCTCCGATACCCCAATCTTAGAACCATGAATTTAGGGTTTGGTGGGTTTCCAAGCCTCTTAGCCTGAGACCCAGGGACTTATGTAATTGTAAATCTGGAAGTCGGGTGTAGGGCATCCGGAGATAAGAAATGTAGGAGGGCGCGATTCTCATTTTGAGGGTTTACATGCCTGCGAAAACCCCTGATATGCGGGGGGGTACGTTTTTATTTTGAAGGTTTCCATGTCTCCATAGCCGTAATCAAACCCTCAACATGAAACACATAGCACCTACGCTTCTCATTTTGTGGTAGCTTCTCAGTTTGGGTGGTGTCCATGCTTCGGCCGAGACGGTCAAGGGCCCGTGGCAGAGTTCAGTGGCAGCGGGACAATTCCGAAATAAGAAACGTAGCCCCCTACACCGACACTTTGGGTTTCCAAGCCCCCGAACCCAGCCAAACTAGCAAATGCAAGCGGGCTGTGTTTCTTGTTTTGGTGGTTTCCAGGCCTCCAAACCAGCCCAAATGTACAATGTAAACGTAGAGGGCTACGCTTCTCATTTAGGTGGGTTCCACGCCTCGGCCGTTTGGGCCTAAGCCCAGGGGCCAAGGGTTCCGGGCAAGTTATTTTGCTTTTGTTGTGTGTCTACATCTGAAAGAAATCAATCAGAAATGGGGGATACCCAACAGCACCGGGAAGAGCGAAACTAAAGGCAAGCTAAAACATAGAGGGTGCCCTACACTGGGAAGTAGCATCTCTTTTTCAGCAGATGCACTACAGTATAGTTCTACATATTAATATACAATTGTATACATGTAGACATATACATATACATGTACGTATACATATGGATATAGGTGTACATGTATACATAAACGTATACATATACAGAATATATATATATATACATACTTAAATACAGAAATACACATATACACATATACATATGTACATATATCATATATATATATATATATGTATATATATGTATATACATATATATGTCTATATGTATATATATATATATATATGTATACATGCTCATGAACATACGCACAGGCACACACTTACACACACTTACACACACAC